AGGGCTTCCCTGGTGGCGCAGTGGTTGAGAATCCACCTGCCAGCGCAGGGGACACGGGTTTGAGCCCTGGTCCGGGAAGATCCCACATGCCACGGAGCAACTAAGACCGTGCGCCACAACTACTGAGCCTGCGCCCTACAGCCCGTGAACCACAACTACTGAAGTCCACACACCTAGACCCTGTGCTCAACAACAAAGAGAAGCCACCACAATGAGAAGCCCACGCACTGCAACGAAGAGTAGCCCCCGCTCGCCACAACTGGAGAAAGCCCGCGCACAGCAACGAGGAGCCTATGCAGCCAAAAATAAATAAATACATAAATAAATCTATTTTAAAAAAAAAAAGCAATGAGAAGAGGTGCGACTGTACTGATGGGTCAGATTTGGGGGCGGGGGAGATGGGAAGTGGGTTCCAAGCTGGAAGGACCATGTGGACATAGGCGGTGACAGTGGGTTATGACCGATGCAGAGCATGTCAGCTGAGAAGTATTCAGAGAGAAGGTGGAGGGGGGGAGGGGTTGCCAGGTTGACGTGATCGGATTTCATTAAGAGGGAACAATTCTTGGGGAAGTTCCAGATGAAACAAAGTATAATCTTCTCTCTGTTTACATAGTGGTTGCTTTCGAAAAAAAGAAGTCAGCATATATTAATACCCTGCAAAAAAAAGATGTTCTGTTTATGTGCAAGACAAGAGTTCTTTACTAGGCTCAGATAACTTAGAAGCAGGTTTTTACCTACCCGCCCCCATGAATGTCTAGTGGAACTGGGGACCCAGGGTACTTTCTCATTGCGCAGGACCATCCAATAGCGCATTGCTGGCCGCTGCCCAGAAATGCCAGGGGTGCCCCCCAATCTGTCCCTGGAGATTTCCAACATACACTCCCCTCCCCCGGGATGGGGGTGCTGCCCTGTTGAGGACCACTCAGAACCCGTCTCTAATTGTTCGGTGCCCAACTGGGGCGCACTCGTTGGAAACCTGCTGGCCCACATCTCACCTCCGCTCTGGTTGCAGGTTCCATGCAGGTGATGAACAAGACACGGCGCATCATGGAGCAGGGCGGGGCGCACTTCATCAATGCCTTCGTGACCACGCCCATGTGCTGCCCCTCGCGCTCCTCCATCCTCACCGGGAAGTACGTGCACAACCACAACACCTACACCAACAATGAGAACTGCTCCTCGCGCTCCTGGCAGGCGCAGCACGAGAGCCGCACCTTTGCCGTGTACCTCAACAGCACGGGCTACCGGACAGGTGAGGGAGCCAGGCTGCCACGGGCGGGCACACGAGTGGGCTGGGAACCTCCGACGTGGTACCCGGTGTCCTGCCTCGGACCACTGTCTTTCCCACTGTGGTCCCTGTACTGCGAGGGGTCCCTGTAGTGCGTGAACAACTTTCTTTTAATTTAAAAGTTGTGCGTTGACTTCTAGATGTGTTCGAAAAATACAGATTTATTTGCCTACAGGAGTGATAGAAGAAAAACATTGGGGTGGGGGATGGAGAGGAGTGTATGTGGGGACCGTGGCCACTCTACAGACGGCAAGGGACTGTTTGTCTACACTTGAGCGTCTACACCGCCCAAGGTGCTCTGTCCCTCCTGCAGTGGGTGCCCGCAGTGTTGGTTGCATCCTGGGTGGAGAGCGAGCAGGGTGTCCTGTCTCTTTATCCTGCAGGAGGTACTTTGGTGCGTTCTGAAGACTCACCTGCCAGGCTGGTTGCCTGAGGCAGAGGCACAATTACAGTCACGTATCTGCAGCACCACTGCAAAATCCTCCAAACTCAATGAAACTTGCTCTAATTTAGAAAAATAAACACTCCTCACCTTGGGTAAGGAGCCAAGGCAGTTGTGAAATCAGATACTGTGGCTTGAATGTTGTAACCCTGGGAAGTTGTGTTCAAGTGACAAGGGGCTTGTTTGGGTAGGAGTGACATGAGAGAAGGACGGATACCCCCCTGAGCTGTGGGTTCAGGGCGCTGAAGCCGTCCTGGAAGCTGGGCAGCTGCCCCTCACGTACACGGTGTGGCTGGCGTGGGCACATCGGGGTGAGGAGCACGCTGGTGAGGTGTGTCGTCTTGCAGACTGTTTCCACTGCCAGAATCACCCAGCGAGCGGGCCCTGCTGAGAGAACTAGGAAGGCCTCAGTCCTATACACATGACCCCGTTGGTTCCGGGGTCTCTGCAGAAAGCCACATGAGTCAGAGTTTACCTCAGGCCATCACCCATCTGGTTGCAGAGACCTGGGTATAGATGGAGGAAGCAGGACAGACCATGGCACCTACTGAAAGCGGCATCTGCCACTCAGGTCCGGGTAATTATAGCTATTCGTGCTCAGGGTTGCCAACCTTCAAATATTTCTAATCTGAATTCTTGGCCAAAATCTGCTGATTTTAAAAAATATTGGCAAAACTCTTGTTTTGTTTTGTTTTGTTTTGTTTTGTTTTGTTAATACACAGTGTGGACCCACAAAGAAAACATGTCTGAGGGCTGTGAGACCCACTTTTAGAACCTCTAGCTGAAAGGTCTGTGTAGAAGCCTTTAGCTTTGGATGCCAAAGGAACAGTAAGGACCCTAAAAGTGTACTCATCAACCCCCCACATTTGACAGCTAGGGCAACTGCAGCCCAGAAAAGAGACTTGCTCATAGTCATAAAAGCAGGTGCTTGTGGCATAATGAAAATGGAAACCAAGACCGTAGGACTTCAAAGGGAGTATGGATGTTGTTACATCCATCAAATTGAAAGGAAACCTATATCCTGCAATATCTTAGGGGCTCACGATAGGGTCCAAAGCCTGGTGTTTCAGAATCATGTAGCTGGCACAAGGGAAGGAGCCATCTTTCAGGATTTAACATTTCTTCAAAATTGATTTCCGTAAATTTTGTCCTTGAATTTAAACAAATCACCAAAAAGCGCTTTCCCCAAAGAATTGCTTTCATCCAACTATGCTTAACTATTATACCCTCAGTGAAGACTGGGAGTGTAATGCCAAGTATAAATTGCCATACATAGAACATTTATGTTTTTTGTAAAACTGTCCCTGAGAATTTTATTCGTTACGTTTAGAATGGCCCTCTCTACAAGGAACTCTGTTCTAACCTGACTTTGAGGACTCAGGACCCTGAAAATGTCTGTTTACTGTGATGAACTTATGTGCTCTTGTCATTAAAGAACAAGAGCTATGTACTCTGTATACTTTCCCTTTTTGCCCTGGTAGTTAGGAAGCTCAGATTTGAGTTTTATTTCATTCTCTTTTATGGCTGAGTAACATTCCATTGTGTGTGTGTGTGTGTGTGTGTGTGTGTGTGTGTACCCACACACACCACATCTTCTTTATCCATTCATCTGTCAATGGAAATTTGAGTTTTATATTAAGCCACTGCTTAAAGTGAAAATATGACCAGTTATGCTGGTCATTGTAGGTTGATTGAGAAAAATAACAGAAAACTATAATGAATTCAAAGTCCCTTTTAGATTAACTTGATTTGTATGACTCACATTAGAATAATTAGACTCATATTAGAATAATAACTTTTTAGCTCCCCAGGGAACAATGGTCAACTGTTCTTACCAGGTCTTTGGACACATTCAACCCTGCATTCTCATGAGTGTCTAGGGCAACTGATTGGATTGGATTGAAGTTTTTTGGCTGTGTGTGAGAGACCCAAGAGAGCAGTCATTTATTATTCTCTCAACTAAAAGTCTGTGCTGCTTTGATGGACCTGCCCATGAATTGATCAGAGACTCAACCATTTGCTTTTCTTTTTTTTTTTTTTCTGAGGCATAATTGGCATATAACATTATAATAGTTTCAGATGTACGACATGATGAGTCAATATTTGTATATATTGCAAAAGGATAACCACAATAAGTCTAGTTAACATCTGTCATCATACATAGTTACAAAGGTCTGTGTGTGTGTGATGAGAATTTTTAAGATCTACTCTCTCAGCAACTTTCAAATATACACATAATATTATTAATTGTAGTCACTATGCTGTACATTATAGCCCCATGACTTATTTATTTCATAACTGGAATTCTGTACCTTTTGCCCCTCTTAACTCATTTCACCCACCCGCTACCTCCCACCTCTGGCAACCACCAATCTGTTCTGTGTATCTATGAGTCGACTTTGTTTTAGATTCCGTATATAAGTGATAATCATATGGTAATTGTCTTTCTCTGTCTGACTTATTTCACTTAGCATGATACCGTCAAGGTCCATCCGTGTTGTTGCACATGGCAAGATTTCCTTCTTTTTCATGGCTGAATAGTATTCCAGTGTGTGTGTGTGTGTACCACATTTTCTTTATTCTTGCATCTATTGAGGACACTTAGGTTGTTTCCATATCTTGGCTATTGTAAATAATGCTGCAATTAATATGGGGGTGCCGATATCTTTTCAAGTTAGTATTTTCATTTTCTTCAGATAGATACTCAGAGGCGGAATCGCAGGATCCTACGGTAGTTTTATTTTCAATCTTTGAGGAACCTCCATACTGTTTTCCATAATGGCTATTCCAATTTACATTCCCACCAACAGTGAACAAGGGTTTCCTTTTCTCTAAATCTTTGCCAACATTGTTATTCTTTGCCTTTTTGATAATAGGCATTCTAACAGGTGTGAGATGGTATCTCACTGTGGGTTTTTTGGGGGGGTTTTGTTTTGTTTTGTTTTGCAGTACGCGGGCCTCTCACTGTTGTGGCCTCTCCTGTTGCGGAGCACAGGCTCCGGACGCGCAGGCTCAGCGGCCATGGCTCACGGGCCCAGCCGCTCCACTGCATGTGGGATCTTCCCGGACCGGGGCACGAACCCGTGTCCCCTGCATCGGCAGGCGGACTCTCAACCACTGTGCCACCAGGGAAGCCCTCATTGTGGTTTTGATTTGCATCTCCCTGATGATTAATGATGTGAAGCATCTTTTGATGTACCTGTTGACCATCTGTATATCTTCTCTGCAAAAATGCCTATGCAGATCTGTTGCCCATTTTTGAAATTGGATTGTTTGGTTTTTTTCTATTGAGTTGCATCAGTTTTTTATATATTTTGGAAATTAATTCCTTATCAGATGTATGAGCTGCAAATATTTTCTCTTATTTGGTAGGTTTTCTTTTCATTTTGTTGTGCACAATGTTCCTTTACTGTGCAGAAGCTTTTTAGTCGTCCCATTTATTTCCTTTTGCTTTTATTGCCTTTGTTTTTGGTGTCAAATCCAAAAAAAATCATTGCCAAGATCCATGTCAAATGATGATTTCAGGTCTTATGTTCAAGTCTTTAATCTGTTTTGAGTTAACCTTTGTCTATGGTGTAAGATAGTGGTTCAGTTTCTTTCACATGTGGCTGTCCATTTTTCCCAGTTCCATTTATTAAAGAGACTGTCCTTTCCCCATCATACATTCTTAGCTCCTCTGTCATAAATTAATTGACCATATATGTGTGGGTTTATTTCTGGGCTCTCTATTCTGTTTCATCGATCTATGTCTGTTTTTATGCCAGCACCATACTGTTTTGATTACTACTGCTTTGTAATACAGTTTGAAATCAGGGAGCATGATGCCTCCAGCTTTGTTCTTCTTTCTCAAGATTGCTTTGGCTCTCTGGGGTCTTTTGTGGTTCCATGCAAACTTTAGGATTGTTTTTTCTGTTTCTGTGAAAAATGCCATTGGAAATTTAATAGGGATTGCACTGAATCTGTAGATTGCTTTGGATAGTACGGACATTTTAACAGTATTAATTCTTCCAGTCCATGAGCATGGAATACCTTTCCATTTATTTGTGTCTTCTTCTATTTCTTTCATTAATTAATGTCTTATAGTTTTCAGTGTACAAGTCTTTCACTCCCTTGGTTAAGTTTATTCCAGATATTTTATTCTTTTTGATGCGGTTGTACATGGGACTGTTTTCTTAATTTACCTTCCTGATAGTTTGTTTTTAGTATATAAAAACACAACAGATTTTTGTGTATTGATTTTGTATCTTGCAGCTTTACTGAATTAATTTTTTCTAACAGTTTTTTGGTGGAGTCTTAAGGGTTTTCTATGTATAATGTCATGTCACCTGCAAATAGTTAGAGTTTTGCTTCTTCCTTCATGATTTGGATGCTTTTTCTTTCTTTTTCTTGCCTAATTGCTCTGGCTAGGACTTCCAATACTATGTCAAATAAAAGTGTTGAGAGTGGGCACCCTTGTCTTGTTCCTGATTTTAGAGGAAAAGTTTTCAGCTTATCACTTGAATATGATGTTAGCTATGGGCTT